CGTTCGCGCGCGGCGTCTGGGAGCTTCGGCGAGAAAACACTCCAATTACATCAAAGCGCACCGTTTCCCACGGCCTATTGGCGTCCATCCGCAACGCACACCCCCCATATGTTTCTCAGTGGTGCCAACTACAAGTAGAAAAAAGCGGTACTCTGTGTATGTGACTTTTGTTCATGCCGGCAACGTCAAAGGACGCGAGATCAAGCTGTTTACAACAAGAAAAGTCACAAGAAATCGGACAGGCAAGACCCTCGTAAAGCACCATCCGTCGTCGTAAACGCTTGAGGGTGCGAATAACGGCTGCTGAGACAAACCATAAGATCCGGGGTCCCTACACACTCGAGAATTCCTCAGGGGTCCATGCCCCGTTCGATTCCAATCGGATCGCCGGAGCCCCCCTTTTCCCCTCGTCATCGACCAACTTCATAAATCGCACTCCTTACGGCACAAAAAAATGCGTGCGACACCTCCAACACAATACATGACATCGGTACAGCAGCAGGGTTAAAACCAATTGCTCGTTTCTCGTCGTCACCTTTGCACGGACGATGACGATCGCAAAATGCGGCCCTCCCGTGTTCTTTCGGTCCAGGAATCCGTTCAAGCGGCCAATCCCTCCTCCTCCGCCCCCGCGCCCGCGGCTCGCCTTAATAGCCTCTTGTTGCGGGATCAGTATCTGAACAACGCCAGTGACAACGTGGCAAGGCGTTGATAAACTTAGCGTCATCGATTGCGAATGCCAAACCAGAGATGCCCAGAGGGTTTTTTTGGTCTGGGTTTATCGTCGGACCGCCGAGAACAAAGTTGATGAGGTAATACAACAGGGGGGGGGTATGCATACGCAGACCCTATCCCTATCCCTATCCCTATCCCTATCCCTAACCCCAACTCAATTTCCTCGATTGCAGCTTTACCCAACATGTTTACGTAATAGAGAACGAAGAAGAATAACCCTGCGAAAGTTTTTGCTGTTATCGTCGCATTGCAACTAAATTACAGCACACCACTCTATGATATCTACCGCTTGCCGATAATCCGAGAATGCCGACGCCACTCTACAGCAGTGTACCTCACCTTCACGCACGTCCGGCAGGCCTTTTGCTTGAGCGTGGGGTCAAAGATAATGCTCTTGAACTTACTGGATGGTGGGGGGCGAACCACCTGGAACGCGGGGGGTGGGGGGAGCGGAGGGGAGGCGCGAGCAGGTATGTCGCGTGTCGGTGTGTGCTATCGTTCGTGTAGATACGTCATGCGCAGCTTGACTAGGAGAAATGATCAACCATCCCAAGGCCTCGAGGATTGAGAGTGGGATAAGCGAGCGTGGGTGGGTAAGCGGCGGAGGCGGGGGCGGTCGAGAGGCATAATGGTGGTCGTCACCGGTTCACGTCAAGGACGCGCAAAGCTGCCGACACGAGCTTAACAGCAACCACCAGTAGAGAATGCCTCTGGTTAAAATCACTGAGCGACTTGTCCGCGAACGTCCTGCTGCTTGTGCCGTTTAGGAGAGTTTGTGTCACCCCAGCTGTACCGGCAGGCTACACAGCAGCGAGTGTGGATATACGACTATTTTGGGTACTCACTTGTGCATGACAACCAACGTTCTACAAGCAGTACCAATGTGAGTGCCTTGGAAAAACAAGTTGTCTGCATTATTCATAGAGGACCCTTTTGCTTTGCGCCCTGCCCTTTGCAGGAACGGGATCACCCCCCATACACCGACCGTGCCGTCGTTGGTACGCAATCAGCCAAACGAACGGCAATGTGATGACATCCCCAACACGCCGCTGTACGCGGGGAACGGACATATGCAATCAGTACCACCAGCAGTACCAGCCAGGCACTACAGCAACTTCTGAACTGCACGTGCGCTTTTGTACATCAAACAGTTCGTGTTTAGCCTCTCGAAACAGGATACTTGATGCCTATTGCTGCTGCATGTGCCCGTTGAATGTTGGCAGAGTTTGGACCGGCTTGTTCTGTGTACAAGTACACACCAGGGCGATGCGAAACCGTTTAATCTAAAAAACCGTGAGCTTCTGTGTGCATGTGGTGCATACTGCTGTGAGCATACTGCTTGTAGAATCAGTGTACTTGTACAGACGGCTGGTTTTCTACACCAATTTGTAGAAACAAACTGACTTCCATTCTTCCATTTTTGTTGGTGTGTCCCAACAAGCAGCAAGCCGCACATCACGCACCATGGACAAGAACAAAAACGCCGGGGTGAACGGCCACAACGCCACGTGGATCGACAGCGCGAAGAGCACATTGTCACCCGCTTTGTACCTGAGATGAACATGCGCGTACACCCACAGCGGAGTGCTATAGATATATATATTATCTCCCATGATTGGACTCTGTCGTCTGCCCCTCTGGCCCCTATCCTCCACTTCTACCAGCTAGACGACCCAACCGGGGTCACATGAGAGAGGGGGGGGTTGGACCCCCTCCTGCGGTTCCTGCCTGAGATATTTTTATCGCGACAAGGGTACAGCAATCCCTTCCCTCGCGACTTACGAAGTCGATCAAGTTTACAATCAACGAGCTTTGCAGCGCGTCGCTTCCAACGGAGACCAGAATTTAATTAGCGAGAAAAAACTCACCATGTCGGGACCCGACCCCATGACCTGGCCCTTGGGAGGCTGCGAGGCTACTCACGAGACCACCGGGGCGACCGGTCTATGTAACTACAGTAGAGGTCCCTGTTTAGTGCCGGTTGAATAGTGCCGGTTGCCGCTATGTGTCCGGTGTTTTCGGCTCGCACACACTTTATTTTTGTTTTTGTTTTATTTTGATCGGTTTCGGAGGGCTCTTTTCTCGAACGGTCGGTGCGATACCTGCTCTTTTCTTTCTATCATTTTGTTTACTTGTTCCGAGTGGTTTGTACAACCCTATTTTTGTTTTGTTTCCCCGCGGCGTCGTATGTGCCGGGTTTTGAGACCACGGGCTCCCTATTTTTGTGGACATTAGAGCTGGTGTGAGAAACAACAACAACAACAACAACAGCAACAACAACACTGGAATATCACGTCGTTTTGTACTTTGAACAGTGCCGGTGCCCGTTATAGTGCCGGTGAAATTTTTGCGCATACCCCGGCACTAAACAGGGACCTCTACTGTACGTAAAGCAGTAATAGTAATAATAGCAGCATCAGATGAGCGGGGGCGTGTCATCTGTACGGGTTAAAAAAACTGAGCGTATCACACAGCTGCAACATGGGAGGACTAGTTGCTTCTTTCCTCCCCCCACCCCCCCACCGCCGTTCCTCCTGCTGCTACAGCAGTGCTGTGCTATAGCCGCCGACCACAGGTCGTGGGTGAGGGTCGAAAGTCCAGAAAAGGCGAGCGTCGAAAAAGCCAACGCGACAGGGTCTGGGCAGCAGAGGGCAAGGGAAACGAGGCTGTGTGTCGCTCGCTCCTCGCAGCATTAGGCGTGGTCATTTTGAATGACCGGGCGCCATCTTCCCAACTCCGTACCTGCTCTGCGCAAGAGGCCTCACGAGCCAAGAACTACAGTATCACAAACCTCGTCTTCAGGCATGAAGAGCTCCTGGCTGCAGCAGTTAGTGCAGAAGACGCCGCCGCAGTAGCGGCAGTGGGTCCGGCCCCTTGCAGTGATGTCCAGAAAGTTGCCTTCGAAGCGGTTCGAGCACAGCGGGCACTGCGGCACCTCGCTGTCGTCCACCCATCTCTTGCTCGCCGAGCGTGCGAGCCGGTTCGCAGCCATAGCTGTGGGTCTGTGGAGTTGGCGTACCGCGGCACTCTATCGCTGTGTGTTTGCCCAGACTCTGCTGTTCCTGGTCCGACTCTCTCGCCCTGGGGGAGTCGCAGATTGTATGATGAAAGAACAGCCCCGCACCTCCATCTCATCATGACCCCTCGCAAGATCAGATGCGAAACCGCCCTGCGCCAGACCACCGCCACGCACAACCAACATATGATAACATCAGACGCTGCACTGGCTGTGAGCTGAAGGGGTCATGGGCACTACCTGTGCACCGCTTGACTGGAGTATCCAACTGGCGATGAATGAGATATGATTCAGCAGATCGATGTGGAGATCGATCTACAGCACTCCCAGTTCACATGAAAAAATATATAATCGCTACATACGACTGACGGTCGGGTGGTATGTTGATGAGGCACATCACACTGCTGTGGTCACCCATCCATATGATTTTGTCAGATCGTCGGAATACGCCCTCGTTGTCGCTACCACGTTCGACGCTGGGGCCACTTTGGAGGAGGCGTCACTCTGTCTTGGACATGGAGCCCTGGGTAGTGCTTGACCCCCGGGATCATGTACCGTCCACGCCGTACAGGACGAACTGTAACGGTTCAACAGGGAAAGAGGCCACATCCACCCGTCACCCTCACGCAGACGAAGAAGGCTGTACACGGCTGTCAGTAGAGCCTTGCTCGCATTGAGTGTGCAGAAGGTCCCAGGGAGATATACCCCACAACCATATGCGCATGCTTCTATTAAGTCCGATTGTTCCGGCGCTTTCGGATCCGCCAGCTCAGTTACTTCCTCCGTATCTGTTTCACCGCGATATTTTTCAGGACGAATGACCTCATCCATGCCGGCCAGTTGAATCTCACGTCGTGAAAATTGCAGCCCGTCTCGCTGTCGCGGAGGTGCCTTCACAACGCGTGCCCTTTTTTTCACAGTCTACCCAGATAAACCCGGCTTGTTTGATCCCACAAAGTAACGTCTCGCACGGAACGATCATGGCCGGCTCTTGCCTCTATTCGTTGTTGACGGTTCTGCGGGGGGGCAGCGGCGGGGTGCCACCATCGTGGCTGGCACCAAGGCCGTGTGTGTGATTGGTGCTTTCGGCCCTCGTGGCAGTGACACTGTTGTGGGGCAGCACCAGCCATACATAGTAGTAGGGCTCTCTGCTGCTTGATTGGGATGTTAAATCCGATCGGTGTTCCTCATGCATTACAATCGCTTGTCAAGAAGATATGTAGATAGTGTTAGTGTTGGAAGAAGCTCAAGTTGCTACGTACGGCGGGCGAACTACCCTGCAAGGCGGGACACACTCGATTCGGAACCCTCGCCACATACTACAAATTGCCTTTTACAACAAAGAAGGACTAAAGGTGTATGCCAAAAAACAGTAGAATGAATGCAAAGCGCGACAAACACCCAAAATCACCACGATTTTACGCAAACATCATGAACAACAGTAAGGCACTGAGTTGGTACGCATATATATGTCAAATCGCACCTTACCAAGAACAACGACAGATCAAAAACACCACCGTATAAATGTGATTCCCCACCCACCCAAACGGACCATCACAATCATACGCAAAACAATTTGAACGGTTACAGACACACCCCACACGGAACACGTTTTACGAAAAAATTGGCAAGAACAGGAGCTTCCCACCGAGCCGCTCTCTTCTACACGATTGGCTCCTGATCCGGACGGTACCTGACTAACCTACATAAATAGACTACATTACCACAGAGCACACTAATATGGCACATGGACACAAGAATACGCACGCACACGAATAGACGCGGATTGCCACCATCAAATTTAGATGTCAGCAAAACAAATCCCATTATATATATGCATACTACACCGCCGGCGCCTTCAAACTTGAATCATTTTGTAGCGACGCAGCACGAAGACGCCAAACCTCTGGTATCGAATAACCGACATCGCCACAGGGCAATCAGTCGGCCAATCCTCAACTAGGTTAAAAACCAAGGCAGACCGGCGGCTCCCACTCCATTACGGTGCGCCTGCTCAAGAACGCGTGCTACATCGGCAGTCACCCTCCTCCGCGGCTAAAGCCACCGCCACACAGAATAAGTGGCTCATAGGGGGGGGGGGCGGCCGAAGCCTCGGCTCTGCCTACGTCAACATCGATCCGCGGGTAACTGCCGCAAACAGCACGGCGTCCAACGCTTGATCTCACGGCAAACACAGACAACAGCCAAGCAAATGAAGCCAGCACTTAGACACTACGATTTCCTGGTCAAGCCCATACATACGTCGGGGGAGGAAACAAATGATACAGCGACACCGCGAAACGTGATCATTGCCTCAACCCCTACCCTTTCTCCCAAGACCAAAATGTACCTAATATACTGTGAAGTTGGCCCTTTTCTCTTATGGAAACACCAACCTTAACTCCTCCACAACCCTCAGAATAGCGCTTGGTAAGGCGATAAAATACGTCGCGCGAAAACATTGTAGCTCTGAGCGGACGAAGACGAGCCAGTGAATGATAGTTTCCAAACAAGCGTGGGAAGCCCGCAAAGGCACAACCAATACCACAAGGAACAGAGCGTGCGTGGGGACGCTGCACCCCTCCTTCGTACGTAGTGTGCGTGCACTACAGAATCCCTAAATTATCGACGTCCGTCGCGGCGTTTCGGGCGGCACCTTCTACCGCCCCGTCGAGGTCATGACCGCCGCCTATCTCGTCTTCCCTGAGCAGATACGGTGAGTTCAACCAGTCGTCGACTTGCCCGAAACCCTCCTGCCGAAGAGTCTGCGGCCCTTGTTGCTGGTGGTACCACACGCTCTCGGAGAACCCCGGCATGTGGTGTTCTTGCTGCTGCTGCTGCTGCTGCTGCTGCTGCTGCTGCTGCTGCAGCTGCAGCTGCAGCAGCTGCTGCGTACTGCCGTAGCCGCACTTGCCGCCGCCGAGTGGGTTCAGCCCCCCGCCGCCGCCGCCGCCGCCGCCGCCGGTGGCGGCGGCGGCCGGAGGCGGTCCCACGGACCCGAGCGAGGAGAAAGACATTATGTACGGGGAAGACAACGGCGACTGCGGGGACGAACACCAAGAGTTGTGAGACTGATAGCTGCCGTCAGTGCACTCGGAGCCACCGGCGGCGGCGGGGGCGGCCGGAGGCGGTCCCACGGACCCGAGCGAGGAGGCAGACATTATGTACGGGGAAGACAACGGCGACTGCGGGGCCGAACACCAAGAGGTGTGAGACTGATAGCTACCGTCAGTGCACTCGGAGCCGCGAACAGTACTGGCCCAGTTCTGGCCGCCCCCGCCCCCGCCCCCGCCCCCGCCGCCGCCGCTGCCACCGCCGCCGCCGCCGCCGCCGCCTCCGCCTCCGAATCCACCCGACACACCGGCTCCGCTCTCTCCCGCCTGCTCGGGCCCTGTAAACCCGTCGGCGGGGAAGAAGCCTCCGTAGTTGGCCAAGGGAGCACAGAGAGAAGGAGAGGAGGAGGCAAAAGTGCCCATGGCCTCGTGGCTGTTAGGGACAGACCCGTCCGGGTAGGCGACGAAGTAACCGGCACTGTCGAAACGGGAGCAGAGGGGGTTGGGGGGGGGGAATCAAGGTGGTCAACGGGAAGGCGTGCTTGGCACGAGGGCGGGGTAAGTGCAGAGTGGGAACGGATCGGGTAAGCCGCGGTAGACGTTGTCGCTCGCGCGCATAAAAAGCACGCTACAGCAGAGCACTCCAAGGCCGCGGTATTCTCAAGCAGCAGTGAATTGGCGGGAAGATCCTGTTCTCTTGCGACACTTGGCCTCAAGAACCTCGTCGTAAATCTTCTCTGTTTTGTCTTGGCCACTGAACGTGGTGGTGGCACAAGCCCGTAGTTTCTTTCTTGATGATCAAAACGCGATCCTCACAAGCTCCGTAGACGATTCACTCAGTTCGACAACAACAAACGACTTCTTCGTTGACAACTACCGCAGGTGACGCAAGATATCACGCACCCTGGACCGATTCCCAAAGCTCGATTGCTCCTCACCAGAAGGAGTGGCAGTGCCGAAGATGTCGGCGTCGGCACCGTCTTGTCGAGGTATTTCCGAAAACGCTTCTTCATCAACCGAGCTTGTCACCCTCCTTCTTTGCGGAGTAGTCGAGCTTTGAAAATCGGCCCTGGGGGTGTGTTATCTTGTACAATGTCACCTTACCTGCACCCACGATCCTGGCTTTTCTTCCGAGGAGCACACGCAACCAGGGAGAACCGCCGTACACACGCACACACCCGGACACCAAATACAAGAACAAAAATCAGGAACGCACTTAAAGGGTTGATCTCCCATTGCCCGAGTCGCCCGGACACGTACAGAACGAACCGAGCGCACAGAAAACACACACACTCACACACACACACTCGGACACAAAATAAAAAGTAGGGGGGCAGGGGGGGGGAGAGAAGGAACGTACCGAGGGTTGATCTCCGCATTGCTCGAGTCGCCCGGAGGTGTATAGGACGAGGATGCCAGCGAGGGAGACAAGGTAGCCGAGCTGCCGCTGCCGCTGCCGACGCCGACGCCGGCGCCGCCGGGGCCACACGCATACGCCCCGCGGTCGGTGCCCGAAGATGACAACGACGACGTCGGTCGCGCCATCCTAAGTCCCGTCCCCGCCGCTGCGGCCGTTTGAAGGCCTGCTGCGCCTTGCTGCCGCGTTTCTCCTAGCGCGACAAAAATCGCGTCCTCATCGTCCTGCTGCTGCTGTCGCTGCTGCTGCTGCCTTCCCCCCGACGCAACAAACGGTGGGGGCATGGGCGCGGCCGAAGCCGACGAGAGAGTCTGGTGGCGCGCCTTGATGAACATGCTTTCGTACGGCTGCTCGTTTTGGCGCCGAGGTTAAAATCATTAGCAGAATCGGGCAGCAGGTTGAAGGGGGTTTAGAAAGGGGTCAAACAGTGAAGTTAGCGCGAATACAAAAGAGTGGCGGCGGAGGTGAGTAAGTTCAACGTGAAGAGACGGATTCGTGAAATTCCCCTTAGAACAAGTGAAGCGCAACCGAACCCATCCCCCCCCCCCCCCCCCCCCCCCCCCCCCCCCCCCCCCCCCCCCCCCCCCCCCCCCCCCCCCCCCCCCCCCCCCCCCCCCCCCCCCCCCCC